GTCCACCTCATCCTACCTCACACTGTAGGTAGTGCAAAATGTACAGTATTCTAGCTCATATTCAAGGCTTTACAGAAAAGACTGACAAAATGAATAGATCAGAAAGACCTGTTTTTGCTGAGAAAATAAAAGAAAATCTTAGAAACAGGGCGGATGGTTGCAAGGGCTATGGATGAAAGAAGGTGAGAGGCTTTGCGATCACGAAGGGTCCAGTCGAAGGCGTGGACGCCTGGTTCTGGACATACAGCGAGGTGCAGGTATTAAGCGATAGAGCGGCTGTCGAACCGGAACCAATGGGTGCCAAACAACGTGAGCTTAGGGCCCATTTATGTGGAAGATTCTCGATGGCTGAATGGGTGGATACGTTACGGCCGAAAGACGAGCGGGTTCACACATTAAGCGTGTCAGGGAGAGAGATGGTGTGAAGTTGGGGTCTGTGGGTGCACTGGCGGTTGAGTAAGAAGACTTTACCGAAAGGCGAGGAGTGCCATGACCAGCCACGCGGGTTTGCTCTTTTGGGGAATAGTGATTCTGCTCGCGTATGATGCTGTCCAGGTATGCCCCCCGGATGTCGGAAGTATACGTGACGTAAGCAGAGCCAACTTCGCTCCTCCAAGTCGTCCCGTAGAAACGACCTGATAATGTAAACGGCTTTAAGCCATCGCAAGACCTTACGAAAAAGTAAGGCTTTCATAATGTTTGATTATCCCAAAGGTCTCTATGCTCCAAGCCCTCTTGAAAGATAAATCTAGTGCAGCAGCAAATTAGCTTCGAGATTATTGTTCTGTTTCCTTATTTTTGATGCAGATATGCATCAAAACAATGTGCCGCATTGCTACAATTCCGCACTAAAATCTAATAAAATCGTTCATTTTATATTATTCGAATTCACCTTTGGTCTTGGCCAGCGTGACAGGGCGTTTTGGCTATCTTGAGAAGCCAGATATCCATCATGTTGGTCTCTTTTTGCACAACGATTCGTCAGATAAAATTCTAGTTACTATTTTTTTCTTACCTGTCCTTTATCTGCATGCTTAATGGAGTCTCGTTTCTATCAGTTTTCTACATGTACTGAGCATAAGAACACACTCTTCTAGCACACTGACAAATTCTCTATTTTAG